CCTCGCTTGTATCCCTCCAATGCCTTCTAAATAACTGTGCTTCATGGGTCGAGAGGCTTTTTGGAAGGAAGTTTTGGTGATGCAGACCAAGCCCCGCTGAAGCATCACCCAGGCCTAACCCCAGACCCTGATGATGTCAGCCAGATGGCCGAAACCCTGCGCACACGCAATGTTTTGCGAGGGTTTTCCACAAACATGCAAAACCGCAAGCCCGAGCTGGTGATGCAGAGGTGCCGGATTTAGGCAACGCATCACGACCAAGTGACGAGGGTCGGCGGCGCACGGGTGCAGCCCCTATAGCTGAAGCTAGCAGGCTAATTGCCTAGCGGCGGCATGCTACCCCAGGAGGCGTAGCCGGATTCAAGGGCTGCCGCCCGGCGCCGCCGACCGCAAGCAAGCAGGGTCATCCAGGCCGGGCCGCCAGAGACTTTTTTTCTGCGGCCGGTTTTTTTTTTAAACTTGCTGCGGGCTTCCTGAACCAAAATCAGGATAATTTGGGTTGCTTGGTTTCGGTCGCAAAGCCCCTAACCAAAATCAATGCATTGTTGCTCATATGTGAGATGACGACGACGATGACGATGATGGCTACTAATACGGCCAAAAAATATTCGAGCAACCTCATTCAAAGCATCCAGCTTGCAAACAAAGAACATTGTTGAAGGCATCCGTGCAGTTGGGGGCATCCGTTTTCAGTTGGGGACATCCGTTTTCCCTGGCAAGTCAAAGGCCCCCAAACCCCAAATACTTTTTAGTTGGAGGCATCCGTTTTTCAGTTGGGGGCATCTGTCTTCCGGCTGGGGGCATCCGTTTTCCCTGGCGAGTAAAAGGCTTTTAAGGCCCCCAGCCTTCAGGATTTTTCAGTTGGGGGCATCCGTGTCTGCATCATCAATGGTTCTCCGGAAACATCCATTCAGCAGGACCTTTTTAAACCCATCAGCAAACAACACCAGCCAGGACGAATCTGACTGGCTTCGCCTTCTTGCTTTGCAAACAAGTGGCAATTTCGCGGTAGTTCCACGCTTTTCCCTTGTCGGCTTCCCACTGCTAAGCCCCTGATCAATGTTTCAAGAAACCCAAGAAAGCCGAAGACCTTGAGCATTGAACAGCTTCAACAGTTCTGCTTGAGGGTTTTGACTTGGGAGCATCCGTTTTTCAGTTGGGGGCACTCTTTTTTCAACCGGGGGCATCCGTTTTTCAGGTTAAAAGGCGGCTTAGTTTAGTCAAGTTTCAGACCTGCCGCGGTAGGCTTTGTGTGGCTTTCAAGGGTGTGATCTTGCAGTTCTTACTGAGTACTTGAAGCCAGCCCGCACGCTTACCTGCGTCTTACGTGGCCTTAATTTGTCAAATCCACACGGATGGTCGCCGTGACTCCAAAACAAACGGCGAACCCGCGCTAGCCGCGTGCTAGCAAGGCGCTAGCGCAGCTGTGACCGGTTTCCAGTTACCCCCACAATCCAAATTTGCTTCCGCTCTCCTCGCGTGCATTTGCCATTCTATGCGATTTGCTGGACAAAGGGGAGAAAAACGGCTGAGGCAAGAAGGCAGGGACGCCTTGTGTCTACCAAGCGTACGGAAGAATTGGGTTGCGTATGTCCCTGGAAAAGCAGATGCTTTACGAATCGATACGAAGAGTTGCCACAATATGATAAAGGCACTTTAGAGAGTTCTATTCAGCAACAGATTGTTCGATACGACAGACACTGTGCAGCTAAGCGAGAAAGAAGCGCAATCCGCCGGAAATCTTTTGCTAAGCTGAAGCCTGTAAATGCTGGAGACGCATCCGGCGCTGATAGTACTAGCAGTAGTAGCAGCAGCAGCAGGCTCGCGCGCTAGCAGCGTGTTGCAAAAAAGCTAGATGGATCGCACGCGAAGACTATTTTCCCTACTTGGAGCATGCATATACAACACAAGCGTTGTTCAAGGCAGAGCCCCAGGGAATAGCGCCTTACAGCCGGCTTCGGGAACTTGATTTATGTGCTGCCCAAGCATGCAGATAATGTAAATTCCATGTGAACACATTTTTGTTGTCCAGGTGAACGCATGTGATTTGTGCCGCACATGGTTCTCCACATGTGCACATACGTGTGTTCCATGTATACACTCACATATGTGTGTTACAAGTCAACGCAGAAGTGTGTTCTGGTTAAACATGTTGGTGTGCTCCAGGTCTGGACCAGTGTTGCACGTGTTCCAAGTGAGCATATGTATGGGTTCCAGGTGAACAGGTGGACATTACTGTGTGTTGCAGGTGAACAAAAATTTTCTCTCCAGACACACACATATATGGTTCCAGGTGGGCGCATGTGTGTGTGTGCCAGGAACACATGTTTGTGTTCCGGGTGTGCCTATATGTGTGCGTGTTCGCGTTTGTCTGACGCGTGTGTGCGTTCCAGGAAAGCTCCTGTTTGTCTTCAAATGAATGCACGTGTGTGTGTGTTCCGGGTGCACATATATGTGTGCGTTCACGCACGTGTGCACATATGTGTGTTCCTCCGGAACACAGACGTTGACATGCTTGCCCCTGCCGCCGTCTGGAGGGGGAACGCCCATCTGCCTCCACAGGAGCAGGGCGTCGCCGTGCTAGGGGTTGTTGTGGGCTCGGGTGCGCTCGCGCAGGCGTAGCTGGGCAGAGCGCGCGCCAAACAACTTCGTTTCTTGCAAGTTGCTTGGTTGCTGTTGTTGTTGTACTGTGCCTCGCCGAGGTCCAACTTTGTTCTCCGAGTCGTGCCACCAGCACTCACTGCTGCCTTCGCAGAGGAGCATGACTTCGCCGTTTGCCAGCGCCTGGCATCCTTGCTTTTTGGGTTGACGGGGGCTTCTCCAACGCAGGCCTGTTGCCCAGGCCCAGCTTGCGTTGCGGGCTTGCGGGCCCAGAGTCGTGCCGCTTTCTGGGAGTCGTGGGCAGATTGCTTGCCAGCTTTGTAGACGTGCGACCCTCATGAGCATTTGGAATCCAGCGCTGCCCCGCGCTGGTTGTTGTTGCCTTGCAAGCAGCCGTAGCCCGCCTGAAGTGCCGCACAGGTCCTCACCATGTTACCCGCATCCCACGCTTCCGTGTGATCTTGTTCAGACGGCTTCGGGAGATCGTCGGGCAGCAGGCGGACCACTCGAGCGTGCTGCAGCGCGGGTGTGCCGTGACAAAGTCAGAAACAAAGACCTTGCCACGAACCGATTTGGGACTTGAACGTTGGAAGCGCCTTGTCCGATGACAGGCGGATTGAAGTCATTGCCAACTGCCTGGTTTTGGGGGAGCCCAGCTTGCATTTGACACAACCCTTGTGTCTGCCTTGACTTCGACTGTGTACACATATGTGTGTTGCACGTGTACGCACATGTGTGTTCCAATTGGCCACGTGTTTGTGTTCCAGGTGAACAGATGTGTGTTCCACGTGAACACATTAGTATGTGCTAGGGGTACATTTCTTGCATCTGACGACATATCCGAGGTGCGCACATGTGTGTGCGCTTTAGGTGAGCATTCATGTTTGCTCACGTGTGCACATATGTGTGTACACGTGGGGCTTTAATTGCACATGTTTGTGTTCCAGGTGAACACCTGTGTGTTCCACGTGTACACACATGTGTGTCTGAGCTGGACACGCGTTTCATTGTGTTCCAAGTGAACACACATGTGTGTTCCACGTGAACACATTAGCGTGCCGTAGGTGAACACATATGCGTGTTCCAGGTGTGCGCGTGTGTGTGTGTGTGCTTTCCAAGAAGCACATGTTTGCTTTCCCAGCTCAGCACATTTGTGCGCGTGCCGCGTGTACTGTTTCAATCGTTTTGCATATGTGTTTTCCATGTGCACACATGTGTGTCTGAATTGGACATGTGTGTCTGAACTAGTTAGCTGCTCATGTGACCGCGCGCTTGCGCAGCCACACTTGCGTTTACGCGCGCACTTGCCCAACCTCAGTTCTGGCGCGGTGCTGAAGAGCGAAGCACGCCAGCAACACACGTGCAGCAGCGCAACGCGTGACGGCTTTTTTTGGTTTATCCGTGTTGGATCGCAGAAAGCCACAAGCTGTTGGCATGTTTGTGCTTGCCCATCATTCCTCAGCTGTTTGTGATCTCTGCTGGTGTAATATTGACTCTCTTCATTGGGTTCTAGCGCCCGTAATGTATGAATCATTTTGTACTTGATAGGTTCGTCTGTTTCGCTTATGTATCAGTTTGTCTGAGTGTTTAGTTTATGGGTGTCTTCCAGATAGGGTTTGCCTTCGGACTTTTCAGGTCGTTGTTCCGTGTCGTGCTTAACAAAGCCATTGAAGGTGACAAACATTTTTGAAGTCTTCATCACTCTTCATTCTTGTGTCCCTTACGTGCTTCAACGCGTATCTGCATTACGGTTTGCTAGCGTGTTAACCCAACATTCGTTCTCAATGTGATGTTCCTCTGACGTCGCTTCCTTCAATGTTATCAGTCTGGGTTCAGTTTCATCTGAATGTATTTATAGTGAATGCTTCCATCTACGCTTTGGTGTAGTGAGTTCACCATCAATAATGTCATCACCCCCTGCGCCCGCACCAACTAGCTCAGTGCTTTCCATAGTCAAGGTCTGTGTTAACCGGACCATCTGTGCAATTCTTGAACGCTGGGTCGCTCCTTATCAGAGCGCCTGGAACCGACGTCCGTCCATTTTGACATATTCCTGTCCTCTTCAATTCAGAATTTCACACATGAAGCTTCTGATATCGCTGTACCGGCGCGCTGTGTCAGTGTATCGGTGCGCTGTATCGGTGTGCGGTGCGCCGCACTGTTGTTTCAGTGTACGGCGCGCTGTATCTGTGTATCGGCAGGGCGCCGGCGTATTGGTGTATTGGTGAGTCGGTGTGGTGTGCCGGTGTGTCAGTGTGTCTGCCGGTGCGCCGTATCGGTGTCTCGGTGTATCGGTGCGCGCCCATGTTTGTGGTCGCTCTGAACTCTTGGGGGCCCCCCAAACATGACTCAAACACGAAGTGCAGTTGGGGCGTCGCGCGTCTCCAACAGAACTGGAGGCAGCGTCACGTCGTTGGCCCAGCAGCCCCGGCGTTCCAAGTATAGCTCTGCGTCTTGGAGCTCTATCTGCATCCAGGCCGTGAGCGCTGCTCGCAGAGAAGTATGTGGTCCTGGTTTCGAAGAGACACTCGTATGTTTTTTTGCAAAAGACACAACAGATGTCAATGAGTATGCAAAGACATAGTAGCTACAGTGACCCTTTCACGTTACTGGAAAACATCTCAGGATCCTGACTGCTCAAGCGCAGCCGGTTAACCCATTTTTTGACCCACATGGCCTGTGTTTGACTGCCTCCGAGGTCTTTTGCCTCAACTTCTTGTTCCAGAGCCAGGCACACTCACAGGCTTACAGGAGTTGAGGGAACTATCGCCAACTTAGGCCTGGTCGCCGATTTGGTGGGCCGCCTGGTTTATCTACGAGCTTCTTGGCATCAAGCAGAGACCCCAAACGGGTTCTACCCGTTTGTTAACCCAAATTGTGACCAGTCCTCCCATTGTGAGACTTGGAGACTTAGTTGGAGCCTTCGTGCTGCGAACCTTTGCCGCAAGTCGTGACAGGTATTGTCACAAATCTGACTGATCATTGCTTTCTTTTTCTTGAAATCTGGCGGCTGTATCCTACAGACGTTCAAAACAAACTCCGCTAGTCTTCGCGCGTGTCTGTCCGATGCCCGAATGCGAGGGTGTGGCTGCAGGCAGTTGCTATTTGCTGCGCTCGATTTTGCGCAAAGCAAGCTAGGCCGTAAGAAGGCACGGTAGGCCATGTGTGATTTGCTTTTCGAAATCGGTTTGTGGGGAGCTATGGTCAACAGGCCAAAGCCCGTTCCATAGGTCCCAGAAGGCTCGCCGATTTTCGACCATGCGTCATGCAGCCATGCAAGGTATCATGGCAGAACTGCCCTGTTCTTGTACTTGCCCTTCGCGACACTTTTGGATCTAGCCACAGCCCCAGTTCTAAATGGGCAACCGCCCAACCTTTAAGCAGCCAGTCCAGCCACCAGGAAGGAAGCTGATTTCCGAAACCGCCGGCGCTGAGGCAATGATGTTCTCCGTGGTAGTTTGGATCAAGTGGCTGATCTTGGGAAAAGCAAAGCCAGGCGCGGCAGGCTTCAATTGCAGGAGCAAGGATCAATCCGTGTGTAGGACATGATTGTCTGATTTGTTCTTGTGAGAATCGTCGCGGCAAGAAACACGCAACTAAACTACCTACAGTTTGCTGCTTTGGCAGTTGCGCTGGACAAGCTTTGCCAGCCTGCTAACATGCCAGCCTGCCAGTCTGTCGGCTTCTTTGTAAAGCACCAGCTAGGCGCATAGCCCATGTTTGCCAGCATTTGCTTCTCACCCCCAGAACTCCAAAAAAAGCAAGCTAGGCTGGCGAGATCAAGTCTTGGTTATGGCATTGTTTGGTGGCGTCAGGTGAGTGTTCCTAGAGCTTTTGCAGGTACAGCGGAACTATGGTCCGGCGTGGCTTGGACGAGAAAGACGAGTGCTCAGCACAGCAGAAGCCGTCGTGTGTCTGCGCAGATTTTCTGCGCAATCAAGGCCTACTACCGCTGGTGGTTTGTGAACACCCTTTTGAAGCACTCCCTGGATCAAGCTCTTCCACTGATTGCAGAGACGCCGGCTGCAAACCTTCTCCTTCGCGCTTTAGGTGCGGAACTGATAGAGATTCCCGGAGAGCTTGTTTGAACATGCCTGACTTGATCCTCGAAAAAAACACGCCTCCTTGGCCGGGGTCCAGTCCACAGGGGGAAGGGGGATTAGGGACGCTGCGAGAGAGAGAGATATATATATATATCTATATATCAAGACACACACACACACACGCGCCGCCGGGCGGCATCCTTTTAAGTTGTGATGTTTGTTAAAAGCAACCCAAAATTCAATCAGACACACACGCTGGTTGATTTTCAGCCAGCATTGGTCAAAGGTCAAAGATCCAAAGAGGGCGCCCAAAGAAAGACCTAAGAGACAAGGGGTCTTTTTAAGGCTCAGCTGCAGGAACATGACACAGTTTCATGAAACTGGATATTGGTTAACAAAACGCACGCACGTTTGCGCAGCATGCTGGATGGGTCTTCGCCGGCCCGCGCATATTCAAACATCTTTCCTCCATGTTGCGCTCAGCCACGTTCGGGTGCCGCGCCGGGGAGCGGTAGATATGGACGTTCTGGTTGTCCAAACGAATCCTACCTGGAGGAACGCGCAGCAGAATTTTGTCTCCTGTGCGTATCTGTGATATGACTTGAGCCAAGCTGGTCATTGCAGAAGGCAAACCTCACGAATAAGCAAGAGCACAATCGATACAACTTCCTGTTGGCCTTCTGCATCAGTCGGTACTTACTGAGAAGTTTACAGGTAAAGTCTGTCCAAAGTGCAAAACAGAATTTCTTACATGTCGCGCGGCGTGAAACGGATGTCCCACCTCGCTCTCAGAGATGGAAAGCATCACACCAGGAACTGTCGGGTGGCAAAGTTGGTATTATCGCGCTACCGGTTTTCTTTTCATGGGGTTGAGTGCTACCTGTGTCACATCTCATGTCGCGGCTCAGGGAAGCTTGTTCCCTGTTCCGGCACTGCTCGCAACAATCTGTGGTCGCTCCATGGGAGTGTCGCAAGTATTTGGCTATTTGTTCTCCTTGCGCTCTTCCTGGACTTCTTGCTGTTGACCGTTAGAGAAAGGCGCCACGCCTTGTCGCAATTTCCACTCAGAAGCATCTCGTTGGTCAGGTGCTTGACGCGCGTGGCGGGTTATACCCTGTAATCACGGCTAACCCCCAACTCATCGTCCAGGAACACTTTTCGTTCTTCTGGAGCGCAGCTGTTGTATTCTGCTTCCCTTTTTTGTCAGCTGCTCACAGTCCTCTAGTGGGCTACGGAGGTTTGCGTGCAATCAGGATGTGTTTTTTTCTGCCCGTTTCTTGCGCGCTGTGAAGCGTGTGTCGAGCCATGTCCTTGAGCACCAAGTCCGGCAAAAATGTGACTTTTGTTCGCATGATTCTACTGAATCGGGGCTTGCGATCTCCAAGTACATGTTCACGAGCCCACTGGATGACATGTTTGTTGCGGGACCGCCGGCCACGATACAGTGACACCCGCAAATCATAGGAAGGAATTCATGGAAACCGCATGTCGCTTGCCATACCAGCAAATCTTGCCGCCAGGAGTTGGGATTGATTCGGGCAAGACCTGGGTGCTTCGACTACTCCAAAGGAGCGTTTGGAAACGCAATTGGTTGTTGCCCAACGACTTGATCGTTCTGCGCAGCGCCTGAGCAGCTCAGCTCCGCTGCCCTTAACGAAGCGTCTGCGCGCTGCTGAGTTTTTGCTGTTTTGCCGGAATACGCATGTAGTTCGCTTTGATGACTGACCTTCTTGACAGGTTTGATTGGTGGCTGAGCTCTCGAGGGAATAGTCAGCTTCATTGAGGATGCGAGCTGCGTTGCGCAATAAGTTGCGCGCGTTGGGAAAATTTGCTCAGTTACTGATCTACTTGGTCTGTCCTAGAAGTTTGGAGCGCTTGTGACGCCTCTCCAGGTTGCCGTGAGCGCGTTCAATGAATGATCCAGCCGATTGCTCCTGGCGTGTGAGTTCGGCGGGCTTGTTGTCGTCTCCACACATTGACGTATGTTGTTGCCATCGTGTCAGTTGTCTGACGCCTCGAGGAAGTCGGACAGGGAATTCTGACTCAGTCTGGCTCTTTCAGAGTAGCTCAAGAGTCGGTCTCCGGTCAAAGTAGAAGTAGAAATCCTCTTCCGGAGTTCTTCAATGGACGTGCTTCAACGAGGTGATCTCCGCTGCAGGTGAACAAGCCTGCCGAAATACCCGCAACGAGTCTGACGCGGACTTCCATTTGCGTCTTGGCATAGCGGTGTTTATTGAACATAAACACGGCACCCTTCACATCTGAATGGTGAGGAGGCAGATGGGTGATCCGTCCATGTGGTGGAACGATCGGTCCTTTCTTTTCTCATTCCTTCCATGTGTGTTCCATTAAACGCAGGAAGTTCGAATGCCTGTTGTTGGCGAGAAGGTCGTAAAGTTCGCATGACCCATCCATTGCTACCGTGACCGAAAAATTTGCGGGACGCATGACGAAGCGCTTGAGACACAAGTCGGCTCTGTCTTTGTCTCCAACCCTACTTGGCGTGATCAACTGCTGGAGCTTCCTGACGGTGTGATGAAGCTCGAGCTGGTAGCTGTGGAGCACCAGTGGCAGCACGTCTGTGTCGTATCGTAGAAGCCTACCGGTGAATTGATCAAAGCTCCTCTTCCGAAGTTGTTGCGCTACCCTGCCAGGGTCTGCCTCCACAGCTAAACGAACGGAGCCTTGATGAAAGCTGGCTTGTTGTCTCCTCTCCGTCTTTTGTGCTGCTAGGAACAAAGCCAACATGTAGATGCGTCCCGTAGGTGCTGGATGGCCGCAACTTCTCAGAACCAAGCGGCTCTGCATCGATGGTCAGTTTGCGAAGAGCGTGTTCATGAGGACACGCGCAGACGAGCAGAGCAACTAGAAGACAGGTGGCTCGAAAGCATTTGCGGTGCTCGCGCTCGTGCTCCACACAGCAGGCTCGCAAGATTAGCCGGGAAGCGCGGCCATCGAAGAGGAGATGGTAGAGATGACTTGGAGGACTCAGAGGCAGGCGCTGAAGCGGGAGTTGCCACGGCAGAGTTCCGTCAGCCGACTGGCCCACCTTGTCGCAGCAGCGAAGGCCGAGTTCTGCGAAGACCCACGGCGAGTACAAAGCCAAAGCCAGGATAGTCGCGCAAGGCTTCAGGGAGCCCCACATTCCTCTTTTGGCACGAGACGCCCCGCAACTTTCGCGTCTTGGGCTCACCTGCTAGTGCCCGAAGCGAACGGCGAGCCTGCCGACAGCATGGATCTCGACACTATCGACCGTCTCGATGACGACGACCTGCAGGAGAAAGTGGAGGGCAACGCCGCCAAGCGGTCGAAGCAGGCGCACAGAGCAGGCCCGGAAGGAGCAGAAGATCAAGGAGCGCCTGGAGAAGAAGCAGCTCGCGCAGCAACTCAGAGCGACACGAGGCTGGCTTCAAAGACAGTGTTTTCCTTGTCCCGGAAGACGGCCCGCGCTTTGCAGCTTGCAAGGTGCGGGTTTTGACAAGTTGTGTGGAGTTTTCCCTAGGCTCGGTGGCTCGGGTTGAGCAGCAGCAGCGCCAGAGCTCGCAGGGACGGATCCGCGTCTCTGCTAAAGCGCCCCAGCTGGTGAAGCAAGAGCTTACTCTTCAGAAGAGACGCAGCCTCTTCGTACGCGCCCAATGTGGATGCCAAAAGGTCTCACGCTCTTTTTGCTGAAAATTGGGATTCCGCCTGATGAGCCACCGTCAACACCCACGGTGTGTTCCATGACATGGGGTTCTAGGAATTTGTCTCGCGGGCCCCGGCGTTCTATTCTTATCTTCGCCTCACAAATAAGCTCCCCGCGTCTATACAGCATTCCAGATAATGTGCAGAGCTGCGCAAGCCCGCGCAACACAAAGAGCCGGTGCCGGCAGACACCTTGCTGTCTGCCCTGCGGCGGCCTGGAACCTCAAAAGCATCCTTTGGGTGTACTCAAGGTCAACTGCGCGGGGCGCGCCGGGATGCCTTGCCAGCCTTTCCTCGCGAACAAGAAGTTCTGAATTTCTCGCGAGCAGTGTGCTATCCTGCGCAGAGTTTTGCGCGCAGCTCTTGTGTGCCCCTTGCCACATGGGTCGCTGCGCGTGAGTCGTAGCACGACGACGGACTTTCCATTCGGTCAAACAACACAGCTATCACTGGAGTGACAGCAACTTGCGGTCTCAATTCAGAAGGTCCATTCCGGGGCTTTGGCCTTGGTGAGAACCATGGTGAGCCTCCCGTCCGGCCAACGCCTGACGCGCCTGCCTGCGGAAACAAACTCGTCGTACGCTCAGGGCCCACTCGAAGCTTGCTTCCACGGCAGCATCTGCTCCTTGGCAACGTCCTTAGCGCCTTCGATCAGGCGCTCTTGCGCAAGTTTTTTTGGGCAAACATTGCTTCGAGCAAGGCAGTCGCCTCTTCTCTGCGGCTTGGCAAGCGACTCAGGGAGCCGCCTGTTAGGCAACTGCTTTGGAGCTGCCTCGTGCGTAGCGTGGAAGCAGCGGCCATGTGGCGCACAGGTGCGCGGGGCTGGCTGTGTGGTGTAGAATGGTCGGGGGATGGATGTTGGTCGTGCGGGGTGTGAGGGACGCCTGTGTGGCAGGTCGAGGGGTGGCTGTGTGGTGTCGAATGGGCGCATGAGGCTTGGCCGTGTGGTGCAGACGGGGCTGTGTGGGGCAGTGGGGGGTGCGGCTGTTTGGCGCACAAGGCTGGGTCGTGGCGCTGTGTGGTGCAGAATGAGTGTGCGATTGGTGCAGAGCGGGCGCGCGAAATTGGGTCAGGGTGCGCAAGGCTGGTCGGGGTCCTACCCTCATTCTACTGGCTCTTTTTTCCAAAGGGGGTGATTTTAAAACCGATAGAATCTTCCCTATTCTATAGCGGCCTGCTTGTTAAAATGAAATGGAGGAGACTCTAGAACAACATCTCCCCTTACACTGCCGCTCCGACGTTGAGCCGCAGAGTCCATCATTCCAGAGCCCCCTTTTTTTCTCCAAAAAACGCAATTCTGCGCAACATGGCCGTGCCTTAGCCCAGTTCTGCGCAACAACGGGGGGCTCTAGGTTGAAAGCTGGGCAGGCAGTGTCAAGGGAAGGTTTGTAGAATCCTTGAGTCCCTGTTTTTGGATCACATGGGGGCTCGAGGATGATGGAATCTGCGTGTTCGGGCCGCAGAATCAAGCAATTTGATTGTTACTGCACATATCTAGCCCGGTTGGCAGGGACAAGGGGGCAAGTGCTACGGTTCACTTGAGGGGCGGTTTTGCTTTCAGGCCCCAGGGCTCCTCTTGTTTGTTTAGCAAGGCTGTAGTTTTGATGGAAGGGACATGGCCCGCCGAAGTTCGCACTACGGCGCAGGGTGTGTTTTGCCAAACGCGCCGTGTTTTGGATGTCCCCTTGTTGGGTCAGGCTACGACGCTTGGACAAGCGGGAGCTCCCAAAACTATGGCAGTTAAAAGCCACGCCCCCGCTGTGGCGCCGTGCTGGTTTGTGTGTGGGCGGCTGGAGTCCATGGCCAGCGCCGTTCTGTGGGACCAGCGTGCCAGAATTGTGGCGGGCGCAGTATGTTCTGCTGATGCCGCGGGCTGCGTGGCATGCGCAGCATTTTCATAAACAAGGTCTGTGAGTTGCGCGGCGCTGTCGCGCCGTGCGAATCTGGAGCTCGGCGAACCCCTTGCGGACATAGCGCGCGCGTCGAAGCGCTTTCGCAGTGGCGCCGTGAACCCTGTGCGGAGATCCGGCGCGTCGAAGTGCTGTCGATGAGGCGCCGCGCGGATTCGTCATTGCCCGCGGCCCTTTGCGAGGATCGCGCGCGTCGAAGCGCGCTCGCTGCGGCGCCGTTCAAATGCGTCTTGAGCTTGGCGAACGCTCTGCGGAGATCCTGCGTGTCGAAGCGCTCTCGCTGCGGGGCTGCGCGAATCCGTCATTGGCCGCGGCGAGCCCTTTGCGAGGATTGCGCGCGTCGAAGCGCCGTGCAAATGCGTTTTGAGCTCGGAACGCTCTGCGGAGGTCGTGTGTGTCGAAGCGCTCTCGCTGTGGCATCGTGCAAAACCTGTTCTGGTCGCGGTGACGCCTGCGCGGAGATCGCGCGTGTCGAGGCACTCGGTGCGGTGCTGTGCGAGTTTCCTGCTTGCTTTGTTTCCGGAGCGGCGTTTGGAAGTTGTCTCGGTTCGCGCGCCCGCTTTCACACTCGCGCACGGTCTCGGTCTCCACCTGCCTCTCCGGCTCGAAAATCGCAAGTTTTAATTGCGATTGTAGCGCACAAGGCGCGCTCGTGCAGCTCCAGCGGTGTCAATTTTGCAACTTCCAAGCGCAAAAGTAGCCCGGGAAGTGCGCTCCCGTAGCTCCTGCTCGATATTCACAAGCTTTAACTACAAACGTAGCGCGCGAAGACAGAGCATTCCCAATTCTCAATTACACATGTTGCACGCAAAGTGCGCTTCCGCAGCTCCGGCTGCCAAATCGTAAGCCTTAAGCGCAAAAGAAGTACGCGAAGAGCTTGGAATTGGGTGTGTGTGTGTGTGCGTTTGTTTTATGTTGGTTTCTTGTTGAATCCCACTATTGTTTGGGGTCTCCTGCCTTCATAGTTTGTTGCTTTTTGTTTCCCATGCCCTTTTGTACTGGTTTGCTACGAAATGAGCGTTCCGTTTTGAATGGGCTTGCGTGCGCCAAGAAGAGTCAGATCAGGGTCACCAAAAATGTGAAGAGTCGGTTTTTACGATTACTGTGTTTTCTTGGCGTGACTTAACGTGGAATGCTCCCCCGCACAAGACCAGAGGAGCCTTTTTTGGCTTTGCGTGCTAGACATCAGCCCCCCCTTTTGAGAAAATGAGGTGTCGCCAGGACCTGTAGGTCCGTTGACCGGCTACTTTCCTGTCACTAGCGGGCGCAGACCTGTTCCTCCAAACGTTTATATTCAGAAGGTTTCACTAGATGAGACTGCGCAGCGTTTCCAAAGGCGCCCATGAATCGGACATGTGTGGGGCTCTGTGGTATTGATGCCCCCAACTCAACTGTATGCTTGTGTCAGGCGCAGAAGTTGGAGAAGGAGCCCGGATTAGCTGTTTCGACCTCCATGATCCAGACCTTGTGGTTGTGGGCGCCAACTCAACCATTGGCAGCTCGGATTGACGCAAAGGCAAAGGGTCCCACTTTAGTCGCGCTGCACGGGGCGGTTTAGGGTCGGGGGAAAGCCTCAGATTCACCCAAAACCAGCATTCTTGCACACATTTTGCGCGTCGAATTTCTACACCGCCCCAATGCGGATGTCTAAGGCAAGCGGGCCAAGCTGGCCACCTCCTGCGTGTTGCATGGCCAGGTGCATTTGGACTACATCAAGATAGGCTGGGCCGACACGAGAGGCCGTGATGCTGGCCCACTCACAATTGAATTCAACACCAGTCGCCGCGTGGCTTGTGCAGCATTCCCTTGCATCCATTCTGTGCTAGTGTGTTCCGTTGGCCACTGCCACGGACAGGCTGTGAAGTGCCAGCGTCAGTCTTGCTGTGCGGAGGCAGTGGTTCTGCCGTTGGGCCGACAGCGGTGTTATCTCAGCTCACAGTGGTTCCGGACAAAAAGGTGGTCGTGCCCTTGTCCACGATGCCAGGCCAGCCGAGCGTCGCGCGCGAAGCATGGCAAGTGAGTTGTGCTGAACACGCTGTTTTGGCCAAAAGAGTGATCAAACAATCAACCACCCGAGTGCTTGTGTAGGGGATCCTTGGACCATAGACTCTAGGAATAACTTCATGATCTGTATGCATGTGCGTCCGCAACTTTTTGTTTATAATATCATCACTGCGCGCAAAGATCAGGGTTGCTGCCGGGCTTCTCTAGTGACTGCCAAACCTTTGTAGGCTGGCACGGCCCTGTGGGCTCCGTGGCTTTCCATGACGCTCAGCCGCCGCGCACCTCCGAGCCTTGGACCACAAGTCATTTTTGTGACAGTACAAGTTTTGAGCATCCCAACGTGGAACAGAATCGGATGTTTGGACATGGTTTCAACTTGTGTGCGGCGCAGTTGATTCTAATTTGGAGCCGTTGCTTTTTTTGCGCCCTTTGGAAGTTGACAGTGTTGTTGAAAGGGGGCGGTGGGCCCTACCAAAAGTTTGTGGCCAACTGTGTCAGTGTGCGAAAAGAGACTGGACGCAGATCTTTTGTGGAATCTGTTAAAATGCATTTCTGAACAAGCATGAAGACGCGCAAACACATTAGGACGGGAAGGCGCACAAAGACGCAAGAGTGAGTCAGAACACGCATGAAGGCGCATGAAGACTCATGAAGACGCATGAAGACAACAAGCCGCGCAAGGACGCCAAGCCGCATGACGTTTGATCGCAGGTGGGCGCAAGCTCCCAGAGCTGGGGCTGTCCCAGCCGCAAACTGAAGTAAGTTTCTTCGCAGAGTGGCAATCTGGGTGACTCAAGCTCATGTGAAAATCTAGCCCCAGAAGTCGAGTGAAATCGTGCCCAAAGCCCTTTCTTCCCACTTAGCCATTTGCCCAATTGCTGAGTGGGGCTTAGGGCAACGAAAGTCGAAAGAACAAACAAGGAACTTCAGTGTTAGGCAAGACAGTTGGGACCACAGCCTTCTCAAACTGCGCGTTCACGCAAAACCCTGCCCCAGTAGCGTACAAAACATTGATGCAAAGCCTGTAAGGGACAACCTCTAGTATGTGAACCTGTTCACGCAAAACTCTTCTCTTTTCCTGACCGCGCAACACGCTGAATCGCCGTGGCGCAAGACTGTATCCAACATCCTCTTTTATACAACTTCTATCACGCAAGACGATTCTTCACGAGAAAGCCCATTTCACTCAAACACCTTCTCACACAAGACCGTGGTGGCACAGATTCCGTATCATGCGCGACCTTGTGTGGCGCAATGCCCTTTCACGCAACATCCTCAGCCTCGTCACGCAAACCCTCGTTACGCACAAGCCGTGTCACGCAAAAACGTCAGCAAGCGCGCTCCTGAACCTTGACATGCCAAACGCCAAGACATTATCATGTGAGACCTTCCTACGCAGGTGTATTACGACGCAACACTTCTTACCGCACAAGCCCCTTTCACGCAAGCGCCTTATTGTGAGAGACCATGACAAGGTCTACCGCGCGTGGCTGAATACGCGCAGCGCCGAAACTAAACCCACCAAGCGCGCAAGCGCGCGGAGATCAAGGGTGTCTCAAAACTGCAGGGCGTTCCATTGAAAAAACATTCTCAGACTCAGCAATGTCAGCCCGCTTACAGCACGCTTTCGTTTTCGGGGGAAGCGGTCTGGGCGAGGCGTGTGTTGCTTCGTCTTCTGCTCGGTTGATTTTTATTTCTGCGCTGCAGGCGAGGTTGATGAGGCTTCCTTGCACTTCCCGTTTCCGGTGGTGTTGTATTTTGTTGCAATCTCTTTGGTATGTTCCTCGCGGCTAGTGCTGCGGCCCCAAGCAAACACCTCAAGTTACACTCAACATGTTCACCCGAAGCGCTGCTGTAGATATATATATATATACAGGTGTATACGCTTCTTTTTGGATGGATGGATGGATGGGATGGTGGAGAACCCTCCCTAGTGCGCACGCGCGTGCGTGTCATCAGGACTGGCTTGGGGAAGGCTGGCCGCCCTTGCAACAACATAGCACGGCGTGGTCGGATTTACACGCTGAGAGCTGGCCACAAGGCTTCTTCCGAAAAAATCGCTTCATTTCGCTTCAGTTCCCTTCGCTTCATTTGCAGCCCTGCCCCTTCAATTCCTTCCTGTCCCTTCAGTTCCCATGATTTCGCTTCAGCTTCTGTTCCTTCAGCTTCCCTTCCTGCATTTGCCCTTCAGTTTCCCTTCGCATCCCTTCATTCCAATTCATCTCCCTTCATTTCCCTTCACGCCCCTTCACTTCCCCACGCGTGTCCCTTCATTGCCTTTCATTTTCCCTTCATTCCAGTAATGTCCTTCCATTCCCCACAACTTCCTTTCATGTCTCCATTTCCTTTCATTTCCCTTCAGTTTTCCTTCAGTTTGCTCAGTTTCCCTTTGTAAAAGTTTCCCTCTAGCCGCCTCTTATTTTCCTTGCATTTGCCTTCATTCCCTTCATTGCCCTTCACCCGCTTTCGCTTCCCAACCCCTTCGTTTCACATTGCGCGCGTGCCTAGCATCATCCACATCATCTGGGACGATGCTCGCCCACCCAACCCCGTGTCCTTACATTTTCTTTCATTCAAGTCGCAGCCTAGTCCATCCATTTCCATCCATGTTCCAATCATTGCCCACTTCTGTCATCCATGTTCCATCAGTTTTCCATCCAGCGTCCATCCCTTTTCCACACACGCGTCTCCATCAACATGTTCCACCCATTGTCCATCAGTTTTCGATGAATGTCTTTCATTTTCAACAAGTTTCCATCCATTTCCACCCACGAGTCCCTTCCCCTCACGGCGCATCATCCGCATCAATGTCCGTCATGATGCGGATTATGCAGGTGCTGCTGGGGATGCCGTCCACTATGGGCACCCCCCCAAAAGTGTTGGTTTTTGGCTATGCGACAAAAACCGCCAACAATCGGCTGAACAAATCCGCAAACCCTTTGCCAAATCGTTTCAGCTCAAAAGGTCATGATCATGGTCGGCGGCCACATCTATCGAATCACGCGTGTGAAAAAACACAAATCGCGGCGGCAGAGTAGAGCGCAGCACGCTAGGCCGCGAGGCCTCGCGTGGACTGCGCGCCGGTCACTGGTGGCCGGCTGTACGCGCTCCATCCCTGAAGCCGTGACACGGCAAAGGTCGTTGCACGGTCGACGCGTCTTCAGGCAGCCTGCTCTCAAGGCGGGGCAGACTTTAGCCTGCAGAGCTGCTAGTAGTGGAAGCCCGGCGCCGGCACGCTCCTACGAAGCTTTGGGGCAGTGGCAGGCAATGCGTGTGGCCAAGAAAACGGACCCCTGCATTTTGTGGCGCAGGCCGGCCATGGGAGAGATGACGGCCCCGCCCCCTACGTTCAAGATAGTTGTGTGCTCCGGCTGGAACAAGCCAAGCCAACTTGGTTTCGCCAGAAGCCTTCGCCGTGAAGAGATGACGCGGGCGCGCACAAACGGCGAGAGTTGCGAGGCTTTCTTGGCGCTGCGTGCGGCGGCGTGCGGGAACGGCCTCACTTCTGCCACCTTATGCTGCGTCACGTGGGCCCAGTTTGAGAGGACGGCGAGGGCGCGCGGAAGATCCGCGCCTTTCGGGGGCGCAACGTGTGTGGCAGGTGTGTGAGCTACCAGCGGGACGCGTGCAAATGCGATATGTGGAGGTCCTGCAAGCTGCGCCGGCGCGGTGGCAACCACACTGACATCAAGATGGCCTTGGGAAGACACGCCCAGGCCCCGGGCCAACAAAGCTCACGCTTACCAGGGCAACGCCAACCCCTCGCACCCGTTGCCGACCTTCGCCGTCCAGGGTGCGCTAGGAGCGCCGGCCCAGCTAGGACGAAGCGCTTGCAGTTTTGCGTGGCTCTGCGGCGAACTTTAGTGACGTACTAAGCCACTTGCAAGTTGCCTAACTTGAGTTAGTAAGTCCGCTAAGTCTGGCGAGTTAGAGGACTTAGCTAAGCAGACGCTGAGCAGTTCTAAGTAGTTGGCTAAGTCCTCTATAGCCAGGTTGTAAGTCTGCTAAATCAGACTTAGCGGACTTACTAACTCAAGTTAGGCAACTTGCAAGTGGCTCAGCAAGTCGCTTAAAGTCGCCAACTACATAGAACGTAGGCCGCCCATTCAAGTTGGAGGCGGGCTAGCAAGCGCGTCCGTCCGGGACCCGTGTGTTTGTCCCAGAAGAAGCGGCATGTCAGCAAGCGTCGTCAAGACCCCAATGTAGCACCCCGTGGACGTGCGCGGAAAAGATTTGTTTGGCGACTTGCGCATGGCGTTGGAAGAACGCCTTGCCGGAGTTTCTGCTCGCAACGACTGCACAGGAGGCCGCCTACAACTCCGAAGTGGAGCCCCCCATTTGGCCGCGTGCTGAGGCCAGAGAATTTCAGAACACAGGGTTGGCAAAAGGGGCTCCGGCGTCGTACCAGCTCCTCGCTAGGCTTCAAGCCGTAAGCCGTGAACGCGGAACATCGCCTAGACTAGCAAAGCAAAGAAAAACAGATAGTGTGCCGTCCTAAACCTCGAGTGTTGCTTGCGAGGAATGTGCTGCTTTGGAATTTGAACGCGGGGCTGAAGTTGACTTGCAAGGAAAATGAGATAGCGCACAGTCATTAAGGTTCTGGAGTTACTTGCGAGGAAGTCGTGCTTTTCATTGCCGTTAGGTCTGCCCCGCTGGCGTTCATTCATTTCGCGTAAGCGGAAACGCATGTTTTTAGGGGTTGCCACGCAGGACCGAACCCTGCACCGGACTGCTGTCGGCCGCTCGCCGCGAGTGCGCTGCAGCATCCCAGCGCTGGCGCCAGCGCTGGCGCCAGTCAGTACAGAGGTCACGGAGGAAGCCATGGAAGCCGTTTGCGCCTGCGCGGGACAGGCGTGGCACGCAGACTTGACGGAGGCCAAGGTGCGCACTTTCACCGGGGTGGGCAATCCTGCAGGCTAACCTGCAGAGCTTTGCCCAGCAGCGACGGAGGAGCGGCAGACCACGCACATGTTGCCGCTGCCAAGGAGAGTCTTGGTGTGTGCTTGGAAACGGGGGTAGGGGGATGCTCTGTGGCAGTGGTGGCCACGCGCGCAATTCCCGGGAGCGGCTTGCAGGTGCCACCTGTGCCGCCAGAGTTGGCCGCGTTGGAGAGCATCGTCAACGACAACGGGGAGGGCTGGACTGGCCCAATTAACTTCAGCGCCGTTCCGGCAACCGCGCGCTGCCGACGGCAGCTTCAAGGCGCTCTGCGCCACGGCCTACCCACTGGCGTATGTTTTCAGCGTCCCACAGCCGCAAACGCACAAGCCAAGCGGTACCGGGCCCTTTCCGACCATGCGCCCGTTTGCCGTGGATGTTGGAGGCCATCCAGGTGACTTCACCCAGGGCGGACGCTCTTGAGCGGGTGTCCATTTCGCAGGCATGGATACAGTGCTGAGCGGGTGCTCTTGAGCGGGTTTCCATTTGCCAGCACACTTGAGTGGGCGCGCGTACCATTTGCCAGGCACGGATACAGTTTTCGACACAGCGCGGAGCGGGTGCTCTTGAGGGGGTGTGTTTTGTGTTTTCACAAATCAGTCCTTGCTGCTACACCTGACGCTTGACGCTGACTGATTACGCGGATTGCGCACCCTCGTATTTGTGGCGCCGCAGCATTGTTTCGGCCTGCTGCCAAAGGCGCGCAATCTTCGCGAGACGCGTTATGAGACCTGCAAGACCACCGCAACGACGGTGTCCCCAACTGTTGCTTCACTGCACGGACTCATGCGTTGTTACGGCTCAACTTTTTCTTCGCGGTCTCTGGCCAGACATTACAGGTGAAATCGCGGACGTGACGACCCAGCAACCAGAACAGAAGGAAACAATGCACTTGATCCACATGTTGCGCGCTCCGTGGCAGACGTGCCCCGTAGCAACAGCAACTGGCTGCTGGCCCTCAACTTGCTTGTGATAGTACGGCGACAGTTCATTTTCGTGTGTCCCGCCTCAAAGAAGTTGCAGAGCCAGACTTTTTCCCCCTGCCAGGCACGGGATGGCTCTGCACGGAAACGCCAAGCGGTGGCTTCCTTGGTCAGGCACCTGTGCACCACGTCCTCCAGGAACGCCGCTGTTCCGGGCTGGAACGAGCTGGTTGCGGTCTCTCGTAGGCATTCCCTAATAGCACGTGGCGTCAGCAAGCGACGGAAGGCTCGCGTCGGGCGGCAGCGGCGGAAGTGTTTGCCTTGCTGACGCATCGCGCTGGCTCTGCTCCTCAATGTTGCACGCTGCCAACGTCCGCGCCCAGTAAGCTGCCCGCCTAGCCGGCGCGTGCTGATGTCCCCAGACAATGCCCACATCGGCGCAGTGGCGCCCTGTCCTGGCAGCATGCCCTCGCCGCCGGGTCCACATTTCGGCCGCGACAAAGGTTTGGATCACTCTGGCCGCGCTCCAACATGACGGCGCGCCACGTAGTCTTGCCAAGCTGCGCAGCTGGTGCCACCAGATCCTCGAGAGGCCTCTGTGCGCGGCTGCAACTCTGCCTAGTACGTGGCCGCTCTGTTGCGCCCCCGCTACGTTGCAGCCGAGCAACGGCACCTGCTCCTGCGGGTCGTGGCCTAAGACACGCCGTTGTTCCAGGCCGATCCAGACGGCGAGGAGGAACACACGCATGCTCAAAAATAGAGTTGGTTGCAGCGGCACGATTAAGCGACGGGCGGCGTCATGGGCGTGCTGCCGCTGCGTGAACAGCATCCAACGGTGTCGGCCGAGCGTCGTTTCTACAAACGAGGCTGTTTGATGCCTCGTGTTGAAAATGATGCGCTTTGGTGGGAGTTCAGCCGCGATTTGGCGAGAATTCGGCCGCGATTTGGCGAGAACAGCCGCGCTTTGTTGACCTGGCTGCGTTTGGCAATGCGGAAGAAGGAGTCCAACGCGCCTGGCTGTCTAAGAAGTGCTTACTGATCCAAGTGGAAGACGCCGGGCCTGCCAGCGGGGGTCGCTTGCGTTCAGCCCGTGCAGCACCAGTGGCAACTGGCAGGGCCAGGTCGCCCCTCCGTAATACGCAGAGGCTTTCCACAAGCGCAGTTGTGCAATCCAGTGCGCAGCGCGGGCACTGCCAGGCAGTTCAGTTCTTATCTTGCCAATTGCGAAAGCCTTGCGAACTTGAGCGTTGCGCAGCGCGGCGTCGGCCGAAAGCTGTGGGCCACTGCATGCAAACAAGCTGCATCCGCGCGTTGTAATCGGGAGAAGCAGAAGCCCGAAGTTCAAAGCTGTGTTTTCGGTCCCTTCCAGGTTTCTGTACCACAAGTGTCTTGACTTGTGTTTGGGTGCAAGCCCGCCTGTGACGTGCAAAGCTGTTTTTTTCGGCGAGTTTCTTCAAAGCCAAAGCGTGCAAACACAGGGAAATGTTTTTTAGGTTTCTGCGAAGTCGGGACACATCAGAGTGTAGTCTCTCTGCATCCATGTTTTTGTCTGGGTCTGTGTCTGGTGTGTGTGTGTGGTGTTTGTGTGTTGTGTGTGTTGTGTGTTGTGTGTGTTCTGTGCTTCTGTGTGTCTGTGTGTGTGTCTGTGTGTGTGTCTGTGTGTGTGTGTCTGTGTGTGTGTCTGTGTGTGTGTGTGTCTGTGTGTGTCTCTGTGTGTGCGTGTGTCTGTGTGCGCGTGCGCGCGTGTGTGTGTGTGTGTCTATGTGTGTGTGTGTGTCTATGTGTGTCTGTGTGTGTGTCCATGTGTGTCTGTGTGTGTGTCTGTGTGTGTGTCTGTGTGTGTGTCTGTGTGTGTTTGTGTGTGGGTGTCTGTCTGTGTGTGTGTCTGTGTGTGTGTGTGTGTCTGTGTCTGTGTGTGTGTCTGTGTCTCTGTGTCTCTGTGTCGCTGTGTCTCTGTGTCTGTGTGTGTTTGTGTGTTGTTTTCCACCCACTAAAGTAAGTGGCCGGAGTCCAGTGGGCCCTCATTGTTAAGGTGCGCTCGTGTAGCCGCCGAAAACGTGGAATAGCACCGCCAAAAACACGTAAAGCGCACGTTTTTGGCGGCCTTGCGCCCACACAAACCGTCAAAAGCACTTTTTTCCTCGTTCACCGAAACCCCTGGCAGAAATCGAGTTCGGCCGGGGGTTGTTGAGGGTAGTCTTGGCAAGCTCGACAAAAACTGATGTTCTATTTAGTTCCCGTGACTTCTTCTTTTCTCTTCAGTTTCTCTTAGGTTCCCATAATTACAGTTCATTTCCTTTCATTGCCCACAAATTCTTTTTGTTTCCGTCAGTTTCCCTTCATTCCCTCCAGTTCCCTTCAGGTTCTTCCACGTCCCTGCATTTCCCTTCAGCTTAGCTTCCCTCCCAGTGTCCTTTTCGTTTCCTTGCATTTCCCTTCATTTCCATTCCCTTCATTTCCAGTAAGTTCATTTCCTTTCACTCATTTCCCCCTTCATGTCCCCTTCATTTTCGGCAATTTTCTTGAAGGCCGGCATGCCTTGCATCATCCGCATCATCCGGGATGATGCTTGGGATGCTTGGGGGGGTGCTGTACAGGGCACGGCGCGCCCCAAAATTGCATTCGCGGGGATGCCACAAAAAGCAACGAAAATCGCTTAAAAGTCCTCAAATCCTGCTCCTGCACTAGGTTCTCGCTAGGTCCTCGCTCGGTTCTCGCTCGGTTCTCGCTTGGTCGGCGGCGTGGGGCGGACAGCCTTATGCCTGAAGGTGGCCCTCCGGGCTACGCCTTTGGCGTGTCCGGCGCCCGGTTTACACGCTGACGCTGTGTTGCGGCCGGCCACCGAGCACGTTGCCCTTCCCGTTCCTTTCAGTTCCCTTCGTTCCACACCCTTTCATTGTGCTTCATCTCCGTTCAGCGCTATTCATTTCATTGCATGCCCTTCATTTGCAACAATTTGAGGAAAATAAGATTTCAAGATTTTTGCAAGTTTTCCCAGCTACTTTCCACTTATGTTCCATCAATTTCGCTTCATTTGCTTCCAGTTCCCTTCGTTTGCAGTAGATTCCTTGAGTTCCCGTCAGTTCAACCTCACTTGTCGCGTCATTGTCCTGCTCTTCCCTTCATTTCAAGTTTGTCAGCGAGGTGAGGACAGGGCGTTGATGGGGTCTGAGACTCAGTAGGAGGGACGCGCAGGCGGTTGTTGTCAGTTTGTTGCAGGGCGCTGGCCACGGCGGTGCTGCTTGAGAAACTTGAGAAATCGTGTAGACCAGGTCCTTGCTAGGTCGGTGGCATGGCGCGCACGGCCTTATCCTGAAGGCGCCTTCGGCCCGATCACGATTGGTGGCGGCTGCCACCCTGCCCCGGTGACCTCCGAGAAGGCGCTAGACACTGGCAGGTTGAATCCTACCCAGCAGAGAGATGGGCTACAGCAACAACACCATCATCACCAGCAAGGCCGCTTGTGTAAGCGAGCCTTGGGGCCTCTCAAAAGGTACGCTTAAGTGCTCCAAATAGGAGCCCGACAGGTACTCTTCAACATCCCCAGCACGCCTCAAAAGGACCTAGACACGGGCAGGTTCCGAGCCGAAGAGTGCTCCAAATAGAAGCCAAGTGCCGAACGTCACTTTTGATTCCTGTATAGAAGAGAGATGGGATACAGCAGCAACATCCCTGGCGTACTTTCCAGAGAGAGAGAGAGAGAGAACGGACAAGGGTCGGCGGACACAAGGCGTTTGAAAATGGCAAAGTCGACCCGACATGTTCAGGGGTGCCCTCGTGCGTGCCTTGGCCTTCCAAAAAGAAGTTCTTCATACGCATGCGCTCACATGGCGAACCCTTCTTACGCGTCAATTGGGGGGGCCTCAGGAAAAGAACCACTACCTTTCTTGCTCCCATCAGGAGGAGTTCGATCGCAAGCAAAACAAGTTCCGCATCATCTTCGGGCTTCCTGCCGTTCTAATGGCCGAAGTGTTGCCGCTCCTTGGCTCCATTGCGATTGACCCGCAGCCAATTCGCTGCTTGTGCTTTGGGAAGTCTCCTAGATAGGCATCTTTTTGAACTTGCTTCGTCCGCCTTTCCAGGTATTACTTCACCTACTATGTACTGGTGTGGTCATACGATGGCCTGTACGACAACGACCCAGTCACAGCCTTCACAATCTGGAGTGTGCTCCTCTCATGGCTCTATGCTCATCCCATGTGGTTCTTCCGGCTGGTGGTCGTCATTCTGCAAAAGTGGTTATTGATCGGCCACTTGGCTGAGGGGGAGGTGTGCGCGTGACATTTGTCAGACTGGAAGCTGCTGGCTATAATCGGTTTGTTTGTTGATCCAATGGGCAGAATGTGTTTTGCAATTATGTATGTTGATGTTTGCTGCGCCAGCACACCAGTTCTGGAGACACTCCTTGGGCCGGCGCAAATAGGTGCCTTTGCTGCTTGCGTTTTCTGCGCACAGCTGCTTCCGCTTGAGATCTCCCTGCGGAGCAAGACAGAGCTCTTTGGGCAGGGTCTGGCTGGTCGCAGTCGGTCGCTTGTCCAGATGAAATGCGCGCCGGTCGCGGCATGTGTTTGTGTGCTAGTGTCTGTGTGTCCGTGTGTCTGTGTGGTCTGTGTCTGTGTCTGTGTGCGTGTGTGTCTGTATCTGTGTCTGTGTGTCTGTGTGTCTGTGTGTGGTCTGTGTGGTCTGTGTGGTTTGTGTCTGTGTCTGTGTCTCTGCCTGTGTCTGTGTCTGTGTCTTTGTCTTTGTGTGCTTGTGTCTGTGCTTGTGTCTGTGTCTGTGTCTGCGTCTGTGTCTTCGTGTGCTTGTGTCTCTGTGTCTGTGTCTGTGACTTTGTGTGCTTGTGTCTGTGTCTGTGTCTGTGTCTGTGCTTGTGTCTGTGTCTGTGTCTTTCTGTGCTTGTGTCTGTGCTGGTGCTTGTGTCTGTGCTGGTGTCTGTGTCTGTGTCTGTGTCTGTGTGTGTGTCTTTGTGAGCTTGAGTCTGCGCTTGTGTCTGTGTCTTTGTGTGCTTGTGCTTGTGTCTGTGCTTGTGTCTGTGTCTGTTTCTTTGTGTGCTTGTGTCTGTGCTTGTGTCTGTGTCTGTGTCTTTGTCTGTGTCTGTGTCTGTGTCTTTGTGTGCTTGTGTCTGTGCTTGTGTCTGTGTCTGTGTCTTTGTCTTTGTGTGCTTGTGTCTGTGCTTGTGTCTGTGTCTGCGTCTGCGTCTGTGTCTTTGTGTGCTTGTGTCTGTGCTTGTGTCTCTGTGTCTGTGTCTGTGTCTGTGTCTTTGTGTGCTTGTGTCTGTGTCTGTGTCTGTGTCTTTGTCTGTGTCTGTGTCTGTGTCTTTGTGTGCTTGTGTCTGTGCTTGTGTCTGTGCTTGTGCTTGTGTCTGTGCTTATGCTTGTGTCTGTGTCTGTGTCTGTGTCTGTGCTTGTGTCTGTGTCTGTGTCTGTGCTTGTGTCTGTGTCTGTGTCTGTGTCTGTGTCTGTCTGTGTCTTTCTGTGCTTGTGCTTGTGTCTGTGCTTGTGTCTGTGTCTGTGTCTTTCTGTGCTTGTGTCTGTGCTTGTGTCTGTGCTTGTGCTTGTGTCTGTGCTTGTGCTTGTGTCTGTGTCTGTGTCTGTGATTGTGTCTGTGTCTGTGTCTGTGTCTTTCTGTGCTTGTGTCTGTGCTTGTGCTTGTGTCTGTGCTTGTGTCTGTCTGTGTGTTTGTGTGTCTGTGCTTGTGTCTGTGTCTGTGTCTTTCTGTGCTTGTGTCTGTGCGTGTGCTTGTGTCTGTGTCTGTGTCTGTGTCTGTGTCTGTGCTTGTGTCTGTGTCTGTGTCTTTCTGTGCTTGTGTCTGTGCTTGTGCTTGTGTCTGTGCTTGTGCTTGTGTCTGTGTCTGTGTCTGTGTCTGTGTCTGTGCTTGTGTCTGTGTCTGTGTCTGTCTGTGTCTGTGTCTGTGCTTGTGCTTGTGTCTGTGCTTGTGTCTGCGTCTGTGTCTGTGCTTTTGTCTGTTTCTGTGTCTTTCTGTGCTTGTGTCTGTGCTTGTGTCTGTGCTTGTGCTTGTGTCTGTGCTTGTGCTTGTGTCTGTGTCTGTGCTTGTGTCTGTGTCTGTGTCTTTGTCTTTCTGTGCTTGTGTCTGTGCTTGTGCTTGTGTCTGTGTCTGTGTCTGTGTCTGTGCTTGTGTCTGTGTCTGTGTCTGTGTCTGTGTCTTTCTGTGCTTGCGCCTGTGGCTGTGTCTGTGTCTGTGTCTGTGTCTTTGTGTGCTTGTGTCTGTGTCTGTGTCTGTGTCTGTGTCTGTGTCTGCGTCTGTGTCTGTGTCCGTGCTTGTGTCTGTGTCTGTGTCTTTCTGTGCTTGTGCTTGTGTCTGTGCTTGTGTCTGTGTCTCTGTCTTTCTGTGCTTGTGTCTGTGCTTGTGCTTGTGTCTATGCTTGTGCTTTTGTCTGTGTCTGTGTCTGTGTCTGTGTCTGTGCTTGTGTCTGTGTCTGTGTCTTTCTGTGCTTGTGTCTGTGCTTGTGCTTGTGTCTGTGCTTGTGCTTGTGTCTGTGTCTGTCTCTGTGTCTGTGCTTGTGTCTGTGTCTGTGTCTTTCTGTGCTTGTGTCTGTGCTTGTGATGTGTCTGTGCTTGTGCTTGTGTCTGTGTCTGTGTCTGTGTCTGTGCTTGTGTCTGTGTCTGTGTCTGTGTCTTTCTGTGCTTGTGTCTGTGCTTGTGCTTGTGTCTGTGCTTGTGTCTGTCTGTGTGTTTGTGTGTCTGTGCTTGTGTCTGTGTCTGTGTCTTTCTGTGCTTGTGTCTGTGCGTGTGCTTGTGTCTGTGTCTGTGTCTGTGTCTGTGCTTGTGTCTGTGTCTGTGTCTTTCTGTGCTTGTGTCTGTGCTTGTGCTTGTGTCTGTGCTTGTGCTTGTGTCTGTGTGTGTGTCTGTGTCTGTGTCTGTGCTTGTGTCTGTGTCTGTGTCTTTCTGTGCTTGTGTCTGTGCTTGTGTCTGTGTCTGTGCTTGTGTCTGTGTCTGTGTCTGTCTGTGTGTTTGTGTGTCTGTGTGTGTGTTTGTGCCTGTGTGCACGCGTTGTTTGTTCCAAGTTCCGAGCCTCCAGTAAGCAACCAAACCCAGTTGCTCGAGGGAGCACATGGCGTGTCAGTTCCCGGTCTTTGACCAGAGATTCCTTGAGGCGACTTCAAAACACAGAAGAATCATGAGATCAGCCACTGGAAGGAGTGGAAACACTGGGTGCACGCACGTGCGGTGGAATCTCACGACTTCGAGGACGCATGGGCGAATGAAAGAATGAAACTTGCAAATGTTTCTGAACGCGATAACGAGAGCGAACGCCACAGTTTGGGAGTGGAAAAGGGAATGGTGCAAAATGAGTGTTGAGCAACCCATCTTTACATTCCGAGCAGGAGATAGGTGAGATGTTCACCAACACCGAAGTGCTCTCGTACATCTACCGTGCTCTTGGCACGAAGATTGGCAGAAGGGTGCAGATCGACCAGCTTCATGGCCCAGTTGAAATGGCTGATCCTTTTTGGACGAACCTTCTCATTGAAACTTGGGAGTGTCAATACTCACGGCCTGGGCTGAGGTTACACTTTGTGGAGAATGACTGTGTTACCATTGACGACTACGTGGTTTTCGGCAGCGAAGTCATGATGTGCACGGATATGCATGCGCCCTGGGTGCCTGCCGAGTACAGCAAGAAGATGGAGAAGCAACGAGGCATTTCCGGACTCTCCGGAAGGGTTGACAGGCCCTCTTCAGTGCAGCGTTTGCGTAAACAACTGATTTATGAACGCACAATATGAAGAAGCACTGCGTACTGACCAACGCGCATGTAAGACTCAATGATCCACCTCCTCAGCGGGAAAAGTCTCTGCATCTATGGGAAGCGTTAGCCATGATTTCGCAGATGCCAGAACTATTCATTCTACTTCAAGAAGGAAACAGAAGAGGTAGTTGACCCGGCAACATAGCCGAATAGCAGCGGCAACTTCCCGCAACGATGGCAAATTTTGTTGTGTCTGAGGCTAACCCCTGCATATGAGCAAGGACACTACTTGTGGTGCTCCATGGAAGATTTGGGGAGGATATGGGGGGCATACTTATCATTTTTGGTTTGTGGCTTGCAAAGCCAGGGGGACTACCGAGCGCGTGTGCACGAGCGCACTTGCACGAGCGAACTTGCGCAAGCAGAAGCTCGCACGAGCACACTTGCCCAAGTAAATTTGCATGAGAGATGAACGTTCTCTTTAAGGAGGCGCGGTGGGACCGAACCCACTCTCCCCTCTGCGAGTCTCGGCATGGTCGATGCGCCAAAATTGAAAGGCCTGTTGCGTATTGCTCCGCTGGAGTGGTCTCGTGCAAATGTGCTCCTGCGAGTTTGCCGGCGCAAGCGTGCCTGTGCAAGTTTGCTCGCGCGAGTGCGCTAGTGGGAGTTGGCTGGCGGTTTTTCCGGAAGAGCCGTTCGCAATGCTTTCGTGGAAAAGTTCAATGAGCTTGCCACCCACACTTCCTACCTCTTGGCTGGACTTTCGGAACTTGTGCTCAGGTGTGTGTGTGTGTGTGTGTGTGTGTGTGTGTGTGTGTGTGTGTGTGTGTGTGTGTGTGTGTGTGTGTGTGTGTGTGTGTGTGTGTGTGTGTGTGTGTGTGTGTGTGTGTGTGTGTGTGTGTGTGTGTGTGTGTGTGTGTGTGTGTGTGTGTGTGTGTGTGTGTGTGTGTGTGTGTGTGTGTGTGTGTGTGTGTGTGTGTGTGTGTGTGTGTGTGTGTGTGTGTGTGTGTGTGTGTGTGTGTGTGTGTTTGTGTGTGTGTGTTTGTGTGTGCAAGTTGCTTCTAGCACTGCAAGCTGAAGGTTCGAGACCACGCTACGCGGACGTGAAGATTTGCAAGGCCGCGAACGTGCTCGACCACTGCACTCTTCTTCCGGGCGTCACTGTGGCAGAACGCGCAACCTGGCGTCACCAAAGGTAGGCTGATTCCTCTGCTGGATGAGTTCCCACCAAGGCAGTGCTGGGAACCTGCACATTGGCAAAGGCAGGCAGCCTCCTGGCAGACGCATAGCCCTAACAGCCCAACTTCTCTGCCCAAAATCAGAGCTTGTAGGATTGTTCCAGACCTTGTATTCGTTGAGCTGCGCCCATGGTGAGACATGAATGGTCGGGAAGAGAAACGGGTCTTATGGCATTCCGAAGTGGCACCTTGAGTTTGAATGAAAGCTTTCAGATTGCTAGGCTACTATCCCCCTCTGGCCATTCACTCTGGAAGTCAGCGAGGTGCGGTTTGGTTCGAGAGCGCGCGTTGCATCCTTTGTTTCCGTTGCTTTCAAGCGGCGCTCGGAAAGCCCGTGTGTGCGTGTGCGTGTGTTGCGAGTCGTTGGTGTGTGTGTGTTTTACACAGCTCGGCTGATTTGCCATGAAGCGGGGCATGGACAGTTCTGAAGTGTGCCTTTTGATTTGTGCTCTCGCATCATGTCCTCGATGATAAGGATGATCACGCCTGAAAGCGGGGCCTACCGTGGCATCAAACATCTATGCAGCATCACTAGCACTGACACCTATGCGGCATCAGAGGGACTGATGATGATGATGGCAACCATCGTTATGATCATCGCTATGCATCCCCAGCATCACCAGCAGCGATACTAATATCCATGACTATGCATTTGAGGTTTTGCTCATGCCAGCCACCCTTCCCGTGCACCTCCTCTCTTTGGCGAGGGATTTGCGGATATTGTGAGCTGCAATGTTGCTCAGCCAGGCCGATCAATGCACCTGCGTGACTATATGCCATCACCAGCAATGAGAGCCACTCGCCCGGCATATCTTTTTCGCTGCTTTTTTGCAGGTCAATCGGTTGCGAGTCAACAGGAGCTTGAGGACAAGACGATGCAGGACTTGGACAACCCCCTTACTTGGTGGAGGCGGGCCAAGCCGAGCGAGGCCTCAAAGTGGATCCACCCGTTGTCTTTTCGTCTTTCCGTCATTTTGTCTTTTCGTCATTTCGTCTTTTCGTATTTTCGTCTTTTCGTATTTTCGTCTTTTAGTCTTTTCGTCTTGCCGTCTTTGCGTCTTTCCGTTTTTCCGTCTTTCCGTCTTTCCGTTTTTCCGTCGTTCCGTCTTTTTGCCTTTTCGTCTTTTCGCCTTTTTGCTTTTACGCGTTTTCGGTCTTTTCGTCTTTTCGGTCTTTTCGGTCTTTCGTCTTTTTGGTTTTAATGTTCCCATATTTTCGTCTTCGTTTTTTTCATCTTTTCGCCTGTTCGTCTTTTCGTCTTTCCGTTTTTACGTCTTTCCGTCTTTGCGTCGTTCCGTTTTTCCGTCGTTCCGTATTTTCGCCTTTTCGTCATTTCAGTCTTTTCGGTCTTTCGTCTATTTGGTTTTTAATGTTCCCATATGTTCGTCTGTTCGTTTTTTCATCTTTTCGCCTGTTCGTCTTTTCGTCGTTTCGCCTTTTCGTCTGTTCGTCTTTTCGTTTTTTCGCCTTTTCGCCTTTTCGTCTTTTCGGTCTTTTCGGTCTTTCGTCTTTTTGGTTTTTAATGTTCTCATATTTTCGTCTGTTCGTTTTTTCATCTTTTCGCCTGTTCGTGTTTTCGCCTTTTCGTCTTGTCGTCTTTTCGTCTTTTCGTCTTTTCGTCTTTTCGCCTTTTCGTCTTTTCGTTTTTTCGTCTTTTCGTCTTTTCGCCTTTTCGCATTTTCGTCTTTTCGTCTTGTCATCTATTCATTTTTTCGTTCTTTCGTCTTTTCGCCTTTTCGCCTTTTCGTCTTTTTTTTTCTTCGGTTTTTCGTCTTTTCATCTATTCGATTTTTCGTCTTTTCTTCTTTTCATCTATTCATTATTCGTTTTTTCGCCTTTTCGTCTTTCCGGTCTTTCGTCTTCTCGGTTTTTCGTCTTTTCGCCTTTTCGTTTTTTCGGTCTTTTCGGTTTTTCGTCTTTTCGGTTTTTAATGTTCTCATATTTTCGTCTGTTTGTTTTTTTGTCTTTCGCCTCTTCGTCTTTTCGGTTTTTCGGTCTTTTGTCTTTCCGCCTTTTCGTCATTTCGTCATTTCGTCTTTTCGTCTTTCCGTCTTTCCGTCTTTTCGTCCTTTCGTCTTTCCGTCTTTCCGTCTTTCCCGTCTTTCCCGTCTTTCCGTCTTTCCGTCTTTCCCGTCTTTCCATCTTTTCCGTCAGTTTCGTCTTTTCCGTCCTTTCCGTCTCTCTGTTCTTCCGTCCTTCCGTCTTTCTGTCTTTCCGTCCTTCCGTCTTTCCGTCTTTCCGTCTTTCCTTCCGTCTTTCCGTCTTTCCGTCTTTCCGTCTTTGCGTCTTTGCGTCTTTCCGTCTTTCCGTTTTTCCGTCGGTCCGCCTTTCGTCTTTTATGTCTTTTCGTCGTTTTGTCTGTTCGTCTTTCCTCGTTTCCGTCTCTCCGTCGTTTTGTCTTTCCGTTTTTCCGTCGTTCCGTCTTTTCGTTGTTTTTGTCTTTTCGTCTTTCCGTCTTTGCGCCTTTCCGTTTTTCCGTCGTTCCGTCTTTTCGTCGTTTCGTCGTTTTGTCTTTCCGTCTTTCCGTCTTTCCGTCTCTCCGTCTTTCCGTCTTTCTGTCTTTCCGTCTTTCCGTCTTTGCGTCTTTCCGTCTTTTCGTCTTTATGTCTTTTCGTCGTTTTGTTTTTCCGTCTTTTCGTCTTTTCCTCTTTCCGTCTCTTTGTCTTTCCATCTTTGCGTCTTTCCGTTTTTTCGTCTTTCCGCCTTTGCGTCTTTCCGTCGCTCCGTTTTTCTGCCTTTCCGTCTTTTCGTCTTTTCGTCTCTTCGTCTTTCCGTCTTTCCGGTTTTTTCGCTTAGGCACATTCTAGTTTTTTTAGTAAGAAAAACGCTTGGGCGCATCTCTCAAAGCACGGCCATGTGTCTCAGATTTCTCCAGATTTGGCAGCACTTGAGGTTCAACTTCATCATCCTGCTGACCATCTTGTAGCTTGCCAGGCTCTAGGTTCTTAGCTGCCATGGAACCCGAAGCCTGCAGTAACCAGAATTACCAGGGTCTATTTCTGGTGGGTGTCCGATTGGAAATGTGTGGCAACACTTAAAACATCAATGGAAACATAGGAGCGCAGCAAGGTGGTTTGTTTCTTGCGTATGGCAATCGTCATTTTGTCCAGGCATTGAATATGGATGCACACAAGGCATTGCGTGTGGTTTCACATGTTGCAAGCAACAAAAACGAGAACCCCTCCCCGCTCTGCAAAGCTCGTTTGACAAGTTGTCACCGAGCACGAGGGTATGAGACACTGTCAGAGTTCTCTATCCAAGGATTGCGAATCCTATCCCAGAAGCAGCCTGGGTTGCAACATACTTTGGAGTCATGCAGATCTGGGACTTTGAAGAGGCGGGGAGAGCGGCTGCTAACCTAACTCTTAATCGTCCGCACTCCTTAGGTTGTTTTCTTTGAATGATCTTTCAGCCAAAAAAGGAGCATTTAGTCCATGATTTCTTGGAGTCTTGTTGGCCTTCAGCGTCACTTGGGTTCGAACTGCTTGATCACGAGGCAAACAAGGCACACGGCTGGTTTGAGGATGGTGTGCTGATGCTTCTGCTGGCTACTCCTCTAGCTCACGCCTCAGTGGACGGAAGCGTGGCGCACGCCCTCTGGCTGCCCTGGCATCTCCCCGCAAGACTTTGCAAAACCAAAGGCTGTGTCAACATAGAGCAGGTCGATCTACGTTGAAATCGGTTGTGTGATTTTTCTTCTAGGTAGCTGATCCCAATTGCAAGTGTGAATCAAGGTTACCAACGTTGCTCAGGACGGGCAGTTGGATGAAATGGTCAGTGTTGGCAACAATTGCCTGCCCGCAGGCTGGCATGTGAGGCATGTGAGGCGTGCGAGCCATGTGAGGCACGCGAGGCGTGTGAAGCACGTGAGGCATGCGAGCCATGTGAGGCATGTGAGGCGTGTGAGGCACGCCGGCCATGCGAGGCGTGCAAGGCACAAGGTGTGAAGCGTGTGAGGCCTGCAAGGCATGTGAGGCATGCGAGCCATGTAAAACATGTGGGCATGTGAGGCGTGCGCGGCATGCGAGCCATGTGCAGCATGCCTGGCATGTGAGGCATGTGACGCGTGCAAGCGAGGCATGGGCATGTGAGGCATGCGAGGCACGCAAGGCATGCGAGGCATGTAAGGCATGTGAGGCATGTGAGTGTGAGGCGTGGGCATGGGAGGCATGTGAGCCATGTGAGGCATGTCAGGCATGCGAGCCATGCCAGGCGTGCAAGGCATGCAAGGCATGTGAGGTATGTGAGGCATGCGAGGCATGCGAGACATTTGAGACATGTGAGGCGTGTGAGGCATGTGAGGTACGTGAGGCGTGTGGCGCAAGGTGTGCGAGGCACGTGAGGCATGTGAAGCATGTGAGGCATCGTGCGCGAGGGATGTGAGGCACGCCAGGCATGCGAGGCGTGCGGGCCATGTGAGGCATGCGAGGCATGTGCGGCCTGATGTGAGGCATCCCAGGCACTCGAGGCATGCTGGGCAGAGGCATGAGGCGCGTGAGCGTGCGTCAGGCGTGTGAGGCATGCGAGGCAAATGTGCGGCGTGCGAGGATGTGAGCCAATGCCATGCGAGGTGCGCGAGGAATGTGAGGGAGAATGATTTGAGGCAGGCGAGGCACGCAAGGCATGCGAGGCATGCGAGGCGTGTGAGGCGTGCGAGGCGAGGCATGTGAGGCATGCGACATGCGGGGCGTGCGGGGCGTGTGAGGCTGAGGCACGCAAGGCGTGCGAGGCAGTGAGGTACGCGAGGCATGTGAGCCATGGGCAAGTTAAGCGTTTAAGGCGTGTGGGGCACGCAAGGCACGCGCGGCGTGCGAAGAGGCAGCCCACCGCATCCTATGTACCATCCGAACCTCATGAAGTCGGAATTCCCCACGCTGGCGCAGAAGCAGCCGCCCAAGACCCTTGACGACAAGATGCGCTGCCTGGATGCAATCCTCATTGTGACCCAGGATAAGGAGTACGTCACCGGGTGGAAATGTGTGAGATACCCCGGATCACCAAGGAGGCGGACAACTTCTTCCGGAGCTTCAGCAACCTCACCCCGTTCACGCAGGTGATGAGGCGTACCAACATGGTCTTCGCGGAACGTGGCATGAGCCAACAGAGCCTGCAGATCTCTGAAGGGATTGAGGATGCTGCTCAACCCTATGGTGGCGAAGACGGCTGCTCTTAACCCTCAATCCTCCCAGCGCAACCGCATCATGAGCTGCTATGGCTCCTCTCTCAGCGTTGGGGGCATCTGGAACCTTGGTGGGCTACACAAAGGAGCCCACCAACAGCCGCAAGCAGGAGTTGGGTTTCCCTCAATGATCAACAAGGCGGGGAAAGACCACGAAGATCAAAAAGGTGGAACGAATGCGTGCGAGGCGTCTGAGCCATGTGAGGCGCGCGAGGCATGTGAGGCATGGGAGGCATGCGACACACGCGAGCACGCACGGCGTGTGAAGATGTGAGGCATCCCAGGCATGCTGGGCATGTGAAGGCATGTGAAGCATGCGAGCACGCGCGGCGTGTGAAGATGTGAGGCATCCCAGGCATGCTGGGCATGTGAAGGCATGTGAAGGCATGTGAAGCATGTGAGGCATGTGAGGCATGAGGCGTGCCGTGCGTGAGGCCTGTGAGGCGTGGCAGGCGAGGCATGCGCGGCGTGTGAGGCATGCAAGGCACGCAAGGCATGCAAGGCATGTGCGCCATGCGAGGCACGCGAGGCGCGCGAGGCATGCGAGGCATGCGAGGCATGTGAGGCATGTGAGGCGCGCAAGGCATGCGAGGCATGTGCGCCATGCGAGGCACGCGAGGCGTGCGAGGCATGCGAGGCATGTGAGGCGTGTGAGGCGTGCGAGGCATGCGAGGCATGCGAGGCATGCGAGGCAAGGCGTGTCAGGCGCAAGGCGTGCATGTGAGGAGGCACGAGAGGCATGCGAGGTGTGTGAGGCATGTGAGCCTGCGAGGGCCTGCGAGGCATGCAGGGCGTGCGAGTCATGCAAGGCACGCAGGGTGTGTGAGGATGTGAGGCAAGCGCGCGAGGAACTCGAGGCGTCTGAGGCGTGCGCATGCAAGTCATGTGAGGCATGTGAGGCATGCGAGGCATGTGCAGGGCGGTAGTGAGAGATTCAGAAGCGTTTGCTGGAGTTGTTCACAACTCCGGGGGTGGATCTTGGCCTTTGATTCCGGGAACTCCTCCAGGCCTGCGTGGGCTTCTTCCTCAGTCAGTCCATGGACGACCCCCGGAATCGCCTCATCCGCATTGTTCAAGATCTGCATGATCTGCGGATGTCCACTTGGTGAGAAAGGAGAAAGCAGAACTCAGACCTGATGACCCAAGTCTTTTGACTGGCACCTGCATGCCGCCCAGTGTCCCTTCTTCCCGCATTTCTTGCATTTTGTAATCTTCTTCAGCTGCTCCCGGTTCATCCGCTCACGTGAACATCTTATCTTGAAACGTCCACGAGAAAAGATCGCTCCGGACTTGCCTTCAGCAAAAAGCCCGGATCCTTCTTTGCCTTTGCCTTGACAGCTTGTTGTCCTTCCAGGTCCTCTTCTGCCGCTCAAACACTGCAAAGATCCCTGGCGGCCACCGGGGCAGCTTCTGTTGCGTATCAAAGCGCAGGACGCCAATCTGAGTAGCGCCCTAGCACAGATGAGTCGAAAAAATAAAAAACGTTGTATGTGTCAATGTAAGGCATGATCCCAGGTCTTTTGGACCTATCAAATTAGCTGCACCGCCGCTTGTAGTTTGAATGGCAGGAGTGTGTTGCAGGAGCGGCCGCGCAAGTCAAACATGGGGCCGCGCAAGTAAAGCGCAAGTGAAGCGCAAGTGACGCAGTGATGATTCATCATCATCATCATCATCATCATCATCATCATCATCCGCATGGTCGAAAGAATCCGGAAGATTGCCAAATTTTCGCGCAAGTCGCGCGCAAGTCGCGCGCAAGTCGTAGATGCCTTGGATCAGGAGTGGCCCATTTCTGTAGTTTGCATTTTCTTTGTTTCTGCAGATCCCAGCAATGAGTTGCAGCAGCAGCCAGCAGCAGCAGCAGCAGCAGCCAGCAGCAGCAGCCGCAGCAGCAGCAGCCAGCAGCAGCAGCCAGCAGCAGCCAGCAGCAGCAGCCAGCAGCAGCAGCAGCAGCAGCAGCAGCCAGCAGCAGCAGCAGCAGCAGCAGCAGCAGCAGCCAGCAGCAGCAGCCAGCAACAATTTGCAGCGGTGTACACACCTGAGACCTCATACACTTAAGGGGCATGTTTTTGGGGGACCTCACTCTTATGAAGACCGCCGCTTGGATTTGCAATGAAAACATCCTGGGATAAGAGTTTTAATACGGTTTTTTTTCCAGCTCAGATGGGAAAGCGCTCCAGCAGATCTTGGCAGGCATTTGCCCATATGGAAGGTGGAGACAAACCTCACCGCGCTTCGCAGTCTGTTTGACATACCGAGTCTTGTCACCTTTGGCACGCTTGCCCGTCTCCGCGATGGACGCCTCTTGGTCGCCTGCTCTTTTGCCCGTTCCATGATGCGAGCTTCACCCAACTGCAGGTCGGAATGAATCTCAGGCTTCTTTGCGCCAAGGACGGATCGCGCTGTAGAGGACCGTGCCCCTGTAGTTTATTGGGCTCATTGACTAAGGATGCCCGTGAGCTGTTCCCATTCCACCTCCAGACAAAGGTCCCACATCACTCGGCCAGAAACCCGAATCCTCTCCCTGTCCTTGTCTTCTGAGATGTCCGGTCGAATCGGCCGGAATCCGGCACACACCATGTTGGGACGGTTACCTCCTCGAAGCGAATGTAGAAGACGTAGATGGAAAACAGCCGGTTGAAGGAAAACACTTGGAACAGTGAGCGTGATGGCCTCATCTTGGCCTGACACTGTGTACATCTGAAGGCATCGTTTGCATAATTCAGAATGTGCTCATGCACACTCAGGAAATCGCCGAGAGGAGGATGACCCGTGTTCGCTTGAACCTTCATCAGCAGCCGCTTCTGGGTTTGCGCTGGCCAGACCAACCGCCTCTTCATCTCCAGACCAACCAGCTGCTTCTCGCACTAGCGTGCTTATTGTGAAGACTGCTGAACAGGGACTTGGCATCAGTGACCTCGCCTTGCGCTGGGCTCGTGACAGGCTGTTCTCTTGAGCTGCGCATCCTGGAGCACAGCATCCCTGCCCGCGTCTCGCCCCCAAAGGTACTGAATACTTTCCTCCGCAGGTGAAGCCCAGAGGTTGAGCTTTCTGAGGAAGCTGCGCCGCTCCCAAAACCATCCTCCTTAGGCAGCGTCTGGCCTCAGTGTTCTAGGAAGGCTCAAGCCTTCGCATGGTCCTGCAAATAGAGGATGCAGTGGCTTGCTGACAGAACTTGTTCTTGATGGGGGGCCTGGGGGGCCCCAAACACCAACTTGACATAGAAGGGGGTCCCAAAGAACAACTTGACAAACAAGAGGGTCCCAAAGAACAACTTGTGAGGAACGCCTGCCACGTGAGGCATGAAAGTTAATTTCATCGTGCCACGCGCTCACGTGCCTTTCTCAAATACCTCACGCGCCTCACACGCCTGACATGCCTCGCGCGCCTGGCGTGCCTCACATGCCTAGTAGCTTGCGGTTCAGGTGCTCTTTCGCTCACGTCCCTCGCCTGCCTGCCTCGCGTGCCTCGCATGCCGGCATGCCTGGCATGCCCCACATAACTCGCATGCCTCACATGGCTCACCATGTTATTCATACGCGCGAGCCCTGCCAAGATGGAGCGCGCTGCAAAGTTGTGTGGAGCTTGCACGAGCGAAGCAGCGACTTCTAGTTCGAACATTTTGTTTGCTTAAGCTGGTATCCGTTGGGCTGTGCTTCACCTGGGCTAACGCCGCCAATGCAGTCAATTTAGCAAGTAAATACAATAGGCTTGTTGTTTGCCTGTTAAACCCTGTTTTTCTCTCTGTGATACGCTGATTATCTCGAAGCTGTTTGCGCGATTAGTTTTTGCAGCTGTGGTCAACGCCTGCCCTTTTTCCCGGCTTCGAGAGCTCAAGCGACGGGAGGGAACAAATATGCAGCAGTAACCTTGGCCTATCTTGACAGATCTACCTCGAAGGGGTTTGCGCATGCTGACACCCGAGAGTTTCAGCTAAAACTTCAGGTCTACAACATTATTGAGTTCATCCTGCAGCTTGGAAGTATTTGAGCGCTCTAACCAATTGCTGACGTATGCTTCTTTTGTGCTCATTCCAGGGTTGCGTCAGGCTGCTGGTCAACTTGGTGCTCAAGTGGATCATCATCGGTAAGTATCGGGCACGGGGAGGGAGACGGAGGTGTTCTGTGCAAATACGTCAGGTTTAGATGGGGCGACGGGTAATGTTCAGTGATTCTGCGCGACATGGGTGAGTGTTTTTTTCTTGAAGGCGCCCTCGTTTGTTGGGTACTCTTTTCAGCTTGGAGAATAAGTGAATACACAAGGAAACAACCGATGCGTTAATTCCTATTATTTTGTCACACATTGACACGCAGGCCACTTGCTGTACCATTGTGTGCCAGGCTGGGGAGTACAAGTTTTTCGGGTCCTACCATGCTGCTCAGACGCAAGTGATGGTTTTGAGCGGGCAACAAAGCTTATTCAGAGGTTTTTTGAACAGAGTGAATGAATACGCCCCTTTTTGGGTTGTTTGCCTTGAATCTGGGGTCCCGTAAATTTGACAAGCAATGATTTGGCATGCTGTGCCCTCCGGAAAAGAGCTGCGGGCCAAGTTGCGCTGGATGATCATGATGATCGTGGGGTCAGGCCCGACCGACCGTTCCTCTGTGTGTCCAATTACCTTACACCTAAAAAGCCTTAAAACCACCTAGATCAGATTGGATGCTCAGGGCACACATGGCAAATGCTTGTCAATCTGGCAGATTTCGAACATGTGGGCTTCGTTTGCAGGGTGCCTGGATGTCCTGTCGAGGCATCAGCGCACTCCAGGATTGCCTTCACGGCACCGTTTTTGAGGCCGGCGTTTTCAAGTCGTAGGGACGAAAGCTAGCTGATGTTTCTCCTGCGTAAGCAAGGTAAGGGGCTGAAATGCCGAAAGGTTGGTTTTATAAATGTTTGAGCCAAAAAGATTGCAAGGCTCAATTATTCCTCCCCCCCCTCCCGGGCTCGAATCCCCACTCCACCCAAGCACTTTCTGCATATCTGAATCCACTTTCGTGGTCTTCCTCAGTCTTCTCAGCAAAACACCTTGCATAGAGTGGCGATCCGGAGGTCGCTGGCAACATGCAGAACGCAGGCGTGCTTTAAGACGACTTGAGACACCTCTCGTTCTGTTTGTTTTTCACGGTTTGCCGCAGTTGTCCTGTACTAGAGTTCCCTTGGCTAGTCGTGGAACTTCTAAGTACTGTTACAATGTTATAAGTCCCGCAACTGATGTTACAAGTAGCATAACTACAAATCCCCGCAACTACAAGTTATGGTACTTAGGGTCTATTTATGTTGCTTATCTTAAAACCTAGCTATGCTAGTTATGCTAGTTCTGCCACATATGAAACAAGGCTGATTCGTTAGTTGGCTTTGTGTATAAAAATGATGACTGATAACATAGCGCTTCTCATGTGTTTAATGCGTTTTTCGTTTGTCGGTGTTTGCCAAGTCGGCCATGGAAAATGCAGAATCCAGTTCTAAGACTTCGCTAAATGAAGTTGCGCAATTCCAACGTGGCTGGGCGGCCCTTGCGTTGTTTTGCTGCAACGGTATGCCTGGGGACATGTCATTTTTGATGCCAACGTCGCTTTTCTTAAGAAAACATTCATAAATGTAGCATTTTTCGCTGGTGTCGCCAATGCTCAAAATGCCTTCAATTTGTTGTTGGGTTCTGGAGCGCTGTTCACAGCCATGCTTACCCAGGTGACATGGGCAGGCCCAGCAACTATGAACTTCAAGATGTTTATTGATAAAAAAAGATGGACCTGTTGCAGCCTGGGCACCTCACCTACCTTATCATGTAAGCTCAGGAATATGATTGAAACTGGTGTGGGGCAGGTTGTGACCACAAGAACTTGTTGCGCCAAGTACTTGTAGACGCAGATTCGCTTACATGTGAGCACCTGTCACATTCGCACAGGTATGTGTCGTGTGTCGTTTGAAGACACAAGTCAGAACATCAACCCAACAAAGCTGACAAACAATCCCAAGATGATTGCGCACGCAAATTGCGGGAGGAAAGGTTAAAATTTAAGATGAAATTAAGATGACGTTAAGATCAAATTTAAGATGAATTTAAGATGAGATTTAAGATTACTTCTCGACTGAAACATAGAAATCTAAGATGAAATTAAAAATGAGATTAAGCCGAATTTAAGATGAACTTAAGATGGGTTTAAGCTGGGCTCAAGGTGTTTGTGCAGCATGGGTTTTTGCACGATTCGATGTTGTATTTGCAAGGTTTTGGCGTTAAACTGCCATGTAGTTAGACAAAAGGATTTCCAACATGTGTGTGCTAACAGGGGTGTCAGATTGGAATTGTTTCATCCTGATTGCCCATTTGACACCACAAATTATTCTAAAGTAAGTGTTGCGCTGATGACGTAAATGCTAAAAACTGACTGACACTTTGCAATCTAGTAAGTTTCACTTTGCATGTTAGACCTCAATATGAGAATAGATTTGATGGGAATTGGGTCTTGATGTGACTTGGGGCAGAACAGCATCGTTCCATGACACGTAAGACCAGCATGTGGTCAAAGCGTGGCGCATGTGTCACGGCGAGCGCCCAAGCAATGATTTAGAAACACGTTCGCGGATTGATTGAGATGAGCAATTAACGGTTTCTCGGCCGTTTTTCCACGTTTTTACTTCAACTGCGCGTGTCTTAAGACACCTTGCAGTCAATTCATTACAAACAGTGTTTTTCATGCTAGTTGTGCTAACTGTAGTTATGCTACTTATAATGGTAGTTATGCTAGTTATGCTAGTTATGAAAAAACAAAAACAACGATTCTATTTTAACGCCTCCGGCTCAGGCCGCCGACATTACTGGCCTGCTTTCTTATTTGCGTCCCTTTGGAATTGTCCCCTTGCCCCCTTCCCCTCTGAGATTTTTGCCCCCCTTTCTTTGTTGAGATCCATTCCCCCTTTCCGCCCTAAGGCCTTTTCTCCCTCTGTTTTTTCCGTTTTCCTCCCTAAGATGTTTTCACCCCTCTCCCTGTTGAGATCCTTTCCCCCCTTTCCCCCCTAAGGCCTTTTCCCCCCTGAGATCTTCTCCCTTTTCCTCCCTTTCCCCCACTTTCCCCCCTACAGCCTTTTCCTCCCTAGAATCTTCTTCCTTTCCTCCCTGAGATCTTTCCCCCCCTTTCCCTGTTGAGATCCTTTCCTCCCTGAGATCTTTCCCCCCCTTTCCCTGCTCAGATCCTTTCCCCCCTTTCCCCCCTAAGGCCTTTCCCCCCCTGACATCTTCTCCCTTTTCCTCCCTAAGATCTTTTGCCACCTTTCCCTGTTGAGATCCATTCCCCCTTTCCCCCCTAAGGCCCTTTCTCTCTCTGAGTTTTTCCCTTTTCCTCCCTACGATGTTTTCCATCCTCTCCCTGTTGAGATCCTTTCCCTCCTTTCCCCCCTAAGGCCTTTTTCCCCCCGCGATCTTCCCCCTTTTCCTTCCTAAGATCTTTTCCCCCCTTTCCTTGTTGAGATCCTTTCCCGCCCTTTCCCCCCTAAGGCGTTTTCCCCCCCAAGATCTTCTCCCTTTTCCTTTCTAAGATCCTTTGCCCCCTTTCCCTGTTGAGGCCCTTTCCCCTCTTTCCCCCCTAAGGCCTTTCCACCCCTGAGATCTTCTCCCTTGTCCTCCCCAAGATCTTTTCTCTTGGTTGAGATCCTTTCCCCCTTTCCCCCCAAGATCTTCTCCCTTTTCCTCTTTAGGATCCTCTCCCACATTTCCCTGTTGAGCTCCTTTCCCCCTTTTCCCCCTTAAGGCCTTTTCAGATCTTCTCCCTTTTCCTCCCGAGGATCCTTTGCCCCTTTTCCCTGTTGAGATCCTTTCCCCCTTTCCCCCCTAAGGCCTTTTCCCTGCCCGGGATCTTCTCCCTTTCCTCACTGAGATCTTTCCCCCCCCTTTCCCTGTTGAGATCCTTTCCCTCCTTTCCTTCCTAAGGCCTTTCCCCCCGCTGAGATCTTCTCCCTACTCCTCCTTAAGATCCTTTGCCTCCTTTCCCCGTTGAGATCCTTTCCCTTCTTCCCTTTAAGGCCTTTCCAGATCTTTTCCCTTTTCCTTCCTAAGATTGTTGCCCCCCTGTCCCTGTTGAGATCCTTCCTCCCTGTTGGCCTTTTTTCCCCCAGATCTTCTCCCTTTCCTCCCTAAGATCCTTTCCACCCCTTCCCTGTTGAGATCATTTCTCCTCTTTCCCCTCTAAGGCCTTTGTCCCCAGATCTTCTCCCTTTCCTCCCTAAGATCTTTCCCCCCCCCTTTCCCTGCTGAGATCCCTTTCCCGCTTTCCCCCCTAAGGCCTTCCCCCCGCCCTGAGAGCTTCTCCCTTTTCCTTCCGAAGATCTTTTCCCCCCTTTCCCTGTTGGGCTTTCCCCCCTAAGTCCTTTTCTCCCAGATCTTCTCCCTTTCCTAAGATTGTTTCCCCCTTTCCCTGTTGAGATCCTTCCCACCCTTTCCCCCTGAAACCTTTCCCCCCTGAGGGCTTCTCATTCCTTAGATCTTTCCCCCCTGTCCCTGTTGGCCTTTTTTCCCCCAGATCTTCTCCCTTTCCTCCCTAAGATCTTTTCCACCCCTTTCCCTGTTGAGATCATTTCTCCCCTTTCCCCCCTAAGGCCTTTGCCCCCAGATCTTCTCCCTTTCCTCCCTAAGATCTTTCCCCCCCTTTCCCTGCTCAGATCCTTTCCCCCCTTTCCCCCCTAAGGCCTTTCCCCCCTAAGGCCTTTCCCCCCCTGAGATCTTCTTCCTTTTCCTCCCTAAGATCTTTTGCAATTTTTCCCTGTTGAGGTCCATTCCCCCTTTCCCCCCTAAGACCCTTTCTCTCTCTGAGTTTTTCCCTTTTCCTCGCTACGATGTTTTCCTTCCTCTCCCTGTTGAGATCCTTTCCCTCCTTTTTCCCTAAGGCCTTTTTTCCCTGCGATCTTCCCCCTTTTCCTTCCTAAGATCTTTTCCCCCCTTTCCTTGTTGAGATCCTTTCCCGCCCTTTCCCCCCGAAGGCGTTTTCCCCCCCAAGATCTTCTCCCTTTTCCTCCCTACTAAGATCTTTTCCCCCTTTCCTTGTTGAGATCCTTTCCCGCCCTTTCCCCCCTAAGGCGTTTTTCCCCCCCCAAGATCTTCTCCCTTTTCCTTTCTAAGATCCTTTGCCCCCTTTCCCTGTTGAGGCCCTTTCCCCTCTTTCCCCCCTAAGGCCTTTCCACCCCTGAGATCTTCTCCCTTGTGCTCCCCAAGATCTTTTCTCTTGGTTGAGATCCTTTCCCCCTTTCCCCCCAAGATCTTCTCCCTTTTCCTCTTTAGGATCCTCTCCCACCTTTCCCTGTTGAGCCCCTTTCCCCCTTTTCCCCCTAAGGCCTTTTCAGATCTTCTCCCTTTTCCTCCCGAGGATCCTTTGCCCCCTTTCCCTGTTGAGATCCTTTCCCCCTTTCCCCCCTAAGGCCTTTTCCCTGCCTGGGATCTTCTCCCTTTCCTCACTGAGATCTTTCCCCCCCCTTTCCCTGTTGAGATCCTTTCCTCCTTTCCTTCCTAAGGCCTTTCCCCCCGCTGAGATCTTCTCCCTACTCCTCCTTAAGATCCTTTGCCTCCTTTCGCCGTTGAGATCCTTTCCCTTCTTCCCTTTAAGGCCTTTCCAGATCTTCTCCCTTTTTCCCCACATCTTTGTGTGGGGTTCTTACTTTTTCCGCTCGTCGTCCGCGCGCCGCGTCTCCTCCTCCTCCTCCCGCTCGTCTCCGTCTCACTCACTCACTCACTCACTCACTCACTCACTCTCACTCACTCACTTACACTCACTCAACTCACACTCACTCACTCACACTCACTCACTCAC